TCACCCTCAGCTCCCCTCTGGGTTGGAAAAACCCTGATCCTCCAGTTGCTTTGGGGTACACTTCCAGACTGGGTACCTGGAACTAACAACATCTAGCTCCTACTGGAAATCCATTTAGGATTGAGTGTTACCTTCTCATCCCTTAATCACCCACGATGTGAGGTTCCAGCTGGCAGGAGACCCCAGAATTTTCTCTTCTCTAAGTCTCTACCTGCCCTGTTTTGCTTTTTTCCTCTTTCATTATTTTTGTGTGGTTATTCATTCTCACTCACCTTTCTCTTTCTTCCTTTCTGAACTTTGTATCTCCCCTTTGATTTTTCGCTGTTTCTCTTTCCCAACTACGTCTGCTTCTTTCTTTCTTCTTCTTTTATTTTATCCCTCCTTGTTTTTTTTATGTTGTTTTGTTTTGTTTTGAACAATTCTTTGGTCTTCCTTTTTATTTATTCCATACCCCAATTGTGCTTAGGTCTTTTTCTTTCTTCTTTCTCCTTTTTATGCTTTTATTTTCCTCTACCTCTTTTCTGTTTAGTTTTTGTATTCTTTTTCTATGCCCTACCCCTACCCCCCCAAAAAAACCCCAAAAAACAGTCACCATAAACTTCTCAGCTGACATCTCTGCCTTGAATTTAGCTGGGCCAGCAGATCCCCTTGGAAACCAGTGTTCTGATTGGAACTGACTGTCTGGATCATATTGGTAAATCCAGGACTAATCCCTGGTTAGCATTCATTGCATAAAATCACTTTCATTTACTTCACTCTTGTTTAAATGACTGATGGAAAGATCAACTTTTGAGTTAGTTTACCTTTATAAAATATTATTGGCATATGAGATCAAAGTTTGCTGATGCTAAGATGTTTGCTTATAATTTTAAATGCTGAACCACGTAAATTCACAACTTCAGTAACAGTTGCATCAATGGCAATTCTAGTCTTCTTTCACCAGTTTCTGGACTTCAACTACAGTTTCTTTATTTGTCAAAGCTGGCAGTCTTCCCTCTTTAGGCTCATCCTTGAGGTTCGGGACACCTCCCTTAAAAATGTTTGATTTAGCTAAAAACTGTTGTTTTCTGTGAAGAAGCATTCTTGTCAACTTGCTGCAAAGCTTTGATGATTTGGGAAGCTGTCCACTTGAGTTTTATTTAAAATTTGATACTAGTCCTTACTACAAAATTGTTGCTGTTTTATTTTGTTTTTATTCCCCATGGCACAAAAACTATCCCGTTTTTGAAGGCATGTTAGTGAGACTAAGAGCTGTATATTACTGAGAAACCCCATCTCCTGTCATCCACATATCGCAGAGATACTTACAACCTCTTTTCTTCGTTTTGAGAAAGCCTATGCATGTATGAACTGGAGCCCTAGTAGTCATTGTTTCACTTACCTTTAGATAAGATAATGCCAAAGCGAATCTGTATGTGAAATATTCAATAGCAACAAGGATACAATATGCACAACATTGTTCTGTATACTGAGATTCCAACTGTAATAATTAAAGATATAGAAGTATAAAATTACAGAGTGATTTTCTATTCATCTTGAGTTGTAACTATTGCAATAATTTTAAGACTTTATGGAAGACCTTGGGCGGTTTTAAAATGCCTTGATAGCACAGTGGCTAAACATCAGCTACCCAAAAGATCAGTGGTTCAAATCTACCAGCTGATCAAAGGAAGAAAGATGTGGCATTCCACTTCTATAACAATGTATAGCCTTGGAAACCTTATGGAGTTCTACTCTGTCCTATGACATCATTATGAATCCTAATCAACTGATGGCCATGACTATGATTTGGTCTTAAAATCAGCAAAGGTGTGCACCAGAGTTGTATTCTTTCACAACACTTATTCAATCTTTATGCTGAGCAAATAATCCTAGAAACTGGATTATATGAAGAAAAACGTGGCATCAGGATTGGAGGAAACTCATTAACAATCTATGATATACAGATGATACAATCTTGCATGCTGAAAGCAAAGAGGACTTAAAATACTTGCTAATGAAGATCAAAGAGCACAGGCTATGGTATGGTTTACACCTCAATGTAAAGAAACCAAAAATCCTCACCACTGTAACAATAAACAACATCCATATAAATGGAGAGAAGACTGAAGTTGTCAAATACCTCCTTTTGCTCAGATCAACCATCACCACTCATTGAAGCAGCAGACAAGAAATCAAACAAAGTATTGCATTGAGTAAATCTGCTGCACAAGACCTCTTTAAACTGTTGAAGATCAAAGATGTCAGTTTGAGGATTAAGGTATCCATGATCCAAGCCATGGTATTTTCAATAACCTAATAGGCATGCAAAAGTTGGACAGTGAATAAGGAAGACCCATTAGATGTGTTTGAGTTATGGTGTTGGAGGAAAATATTGAAAGTGCCATGGACTGTCAAAAGAACTAACAGATCTGTGTTGGAAGAAATACAGGTAGAGTGCTCCGTGGAAGCCAGGATGGCCAGGCTTTGGCTCTAATACTTAGGACATGTTGTCAAAAGGGACCAGTCACTGGAGAAGGATATCATGTTTGGTAAGGTGGAGGCTCAGAAAAAAAGAGGAAGAACCCCATGAGATGGATTGGCACAGTGGCATCAACAATGTGCTTATATGCAGCAATGATTGTGAGGTTGGCACAGGACCAGGCAGTGTTTCATTCTGTTGTGCACAAGATCACTATGAGTTGGTATGACTCAAAAGCACTTAACAACAATAGTAACTGTATAGGGTTTCTGAGGCTGTAAATCTTTACAGGAGCAGAAACTTCATTTTTCTCCCATGGAGCAACTGGTGGATTCAAACTGCTGACCTGATGGTTAACAGCCCAAGGCATAATCCACTACAAACCCTTGGCTCATTACGAAAAACTCTTTTGCTGTTACTGTTGTTGTTGTTGTTGTTAAGTGCCATCGAGTCGGGTCCGACCCATAGCGACCCTGTACAGGGTTTCCGAGGGTGTAAATCTTTACGGGAGTAGAAAGCCTCATCTTTCTCCCGCGGAGCGGCTGGTAGTTTCGAACCGCTGACCTTAAGGTTCGCAGCCCGATTCGTAACCACTACGCTACCAGAGCTCCTTAATAGTAAAGTGAAAATTTCCATGTTGTATTCCCATTTCTCCTCCAGGAGGAGTCCAACCTTAATGAAAGAATGATGCACTGCTTCTTCTTTTTAAGGGGAAGTCATTTTATCTTAGAAGAGTGCTCAAAGGTCATTCAATTATTTTATTTCACCACATCCTAAATTGGCTAAGGATGTTGTCATATATTAACCAGAAACAGATCTGGGTTTAGAATCCACTTAGGGAACTTCTTGGTTTCTACTAAATCAGTCTTCTTGCTGGTGATGTTGATACGATGGTATTCTTAAAAAGCATTTTGTTTTTGTTGTTAAGTGCTGTCGAGTTGATTCCATCTCATACTCTGTATAGAGTTTCTGAGGAGTGGTTAGTGGGTTTGAACTGACCTTGCAGTTAGCAATCCAGTGCTTATCTTACAGAGCCACACAATTGTGCAAAAGACTAAATTAATTAAACAGTTTTACAACCACATGATGCCATAGGTTAAACATTCAACCTCAAGGTCAGTTTAAACTGCAAGATTGGTGGTTCAAACTAACCGCTGCTCCTTACAAACCAGATACAGGGTTGCTATGGGGTGGAGCCGACTCGATGGCACTTAACAAAAACATCTCCAGTACTAAGGGTGGCAGTGTAGGATAAGCACTGGACTGCTAACCACAGGTCAGCAGTTCAAACCCACCAGTCACTCTCTTGGAGAAAGATGAGGTTTTGTTTTTTTCTCCAGTAAAGGTTTACAACCTCAGAAACCCTATACAGGATGACTATGAGTTGGGCTCAACTTGATCGCAATGGGGTTCTTTCTAATCCATAGCAATATAAGCAGTTTCTTTTCCTGTAGGTTTTTGTTTGTTTGTTGGCTGTGGTTTTAATAGCAAATTCATTTTAGTATAAAATTTGGCCTCTTTGATAACAGAAACACGACAGTTTCATAGTACATAAACTAATTTGTCTTCAAAACAGGAACTTAAGAGCCAGAACATATTTCAGGAAAGCTCTGACAAAAGAAAAAAATTTTAAGCATATCCATGTGATTATTCCGGAGTCCTGGTGTGGCGCTCTTGGTTAATGCGCCCAAACTGCAAAGCCGTTTCAACTTCAAACTTGGTGGTTCAAGCTCACCCGTCGCTCCTTGGAAACCCTATACAGGGTCGCTATGGGTCGGAACAGACTCAACGGCACTTAACAATAACAACAATGTGATTATTCCACCAGACACATCTCTGCACTGACACTTCCTGGAACGGCCACCATGTCCTGTCAGAGTAAGGTTGTTGGTTGCACAGAGAGTTGCAGTTTCTGAAAGCCTGTATTAAGTTCCACTTCAAAGCTGATTTCTTTACAGATATGTGGAAATAAACTTTCCTTTACTTTCCTGAGTCCCATGCAGGATCAGAGAAAGTGGCAGCCTAAAGGACTTCTGGTAGCTTAGTGGTTACGAATTGGACGGCAGACGGCAAGATCAGCAGTTTGAAACTACCAGCTGTTTCGCGGGAGAAAGATGAGGCTTTCTGCTCCTGTAAAGATTTACAGCTTCGGAAACCCTCAGGGTCGCTATGAGTCGGAATCGACTACATGACATAACCAGGGAACTGTGAGTTGTGGTGTGGCACTGTTAGATAAGCATTTGACTACTAACCACAAGGTAGGCAATTCAAATCCACCAACTGCTCCCCGGAGTCCTGAAGTAGAGGAGCAGGATAATGTGCTGAACTACAAGGTCAGTTTGAATAGCAAGGTCGGTGATTCAAACCCACCAGCTGATCCTCGGAAACCCTAGACAGGGTCGCTATGAGTCAGAACCAACTCGACAGCCTTCAGCAGCAACAGTGAGGAGGGCAGATGGGGGGATCAATTGCAGAGTGTGCCATCACTTTAAGACAAGTAAGAGAAATGGGATTAAACATCCTAGTAAGATCTTCTTACCTGCTGGACAGCATCTAAACAATTTTCCGTAGTTTCCAAAACAGCAGATTGAGATTCTGGATCAGAAAGGAAGCAGACAGTCAACATCTAAAATATATCTTTAAGCATAAGTACCCAAAATACACAACCTAACTTTCAATTATACTACTGGAATATGAGAACATGACTACTTCTCAGTATATTTAACAGGTATCATACCATTCCACTAAGAATTTTTTTTTTTTTTTATTAGTACAATCCCATGCCCGTCCTTACACATTGACCATAATTATGTTTGTCAATTGCTAGTTTCTGTGTGTACCAGGAAGTGTCTGCTAAGCTTTCCCCTTTGTATATGATTCACTTAGTGAAGGCTTGTACCATGACAGAAACCAACTCACCAGTCTTGAAGGACAGGATCTGGAAAGCCTTAGCTAACTAGTGACAAGTCACCCTCGGATTTCAGTAAGAGAGGATGAATTCTCTCACCAGTGTCTCTGAATAATAAGGGAGAATGGAGGCATTTGGATTCTTTCAGAATTTTGTCATTTGTGCATTCTACGAATTGCGAATACAACATGCTAGAGAACCTAAGGGACAACTGAGTCCAGGATTTCATTTGGCTTTATTTTATTAAGCTTCTGTACACTCTGCTCTTAATGAAATTTACATAAAGGTTAAAAACCAATATAAATATGAAAGAGACTTCAGGCATCCCTCCTGTTCCATGGAGCAGAAACTAAAATCCACTAATCTAGTCCATCTTCCTCATTTTACAGATAAGAAACCTGAGTCCCATAAAGTGGCAAGCTGAAGATAAGAATTTGCCTCCTGACCATCAACTTGCTTCCTTCCTGTCTGTAAGCAGACCAGACAGCTGACAAAGGAAAAAGTAGGCCCTCTTCATGGTAATTTATACATTTCCAATAGAGCAGCATTTTAATTGACTTATTTAAAGAAGTTACAGAAGAATAAACGGTAGCTTTCTTAAATAAAGGGTCTTTATTATTTCAGTATGGTCCTGGTGTCTCACTGTTAGATAAGCACTAGGCTGATAACTGCAACTTGGCAGTTCAAAGCAAACAGTTGCTCCTTGGAAAATTTATGCAGAGTCACTATGAGTTGAGACTTAACAGCACTCATTTAAGTAGCATAGCATACTTTTGAGAGCCACTGAAAGTTTTCCTTTTATTTAAAGTTACAGTCTCCACAATGGCCTGACATCACTGTTTCATCTGTCCCATACTCACTAATTTCTCTGACTATACCTCCTCCAATCCATTTCCAACTCTACTCCAGCTACACTAGCCTTCTCTATGTCCTTGACACCAATTAATTATGCTTCTTCCTCAAACCTTTTGCAGTAGCTCTTTCCTTTGCCCAGAACTCTCAAACTTCTCCCCTAGGTCTACAGGGTCCCATTCCTCACTGTTCTAGAACTTTGCTCAAGCCTCCTTGACCAGGCTCTCCCTATTTCTCTTCCTTTACTTTAATCATAACATAGATCAAGACATATAATTCTCTTGTACGCCTACTTATTTATGTTGTTGTTAGGTGCCATCAAGTCAGTTCTGACCCATAGCGACCCTGTATAGGGTTTCTAAGGAGCGACTGATGAGCTTGAACCGCCGATCTTGCGACTCAAGCCGACTTTGCAGTCCAGCACATTAACCCACAGTACCACACTAGGAAAGAAGGGGTAAGGATTTTTTAATGGGCATGTAGAAACTACCTTGCTTTTAGCTACTCTCAATGACAACAGAATAAAGCAATTGGCCTTTGAAGAGCAACCAATCTCCAAATAAATACTACATGTCACTGAGCTAAATTAAAAGATATTTTTTTATATTGACAAATCTCTATTTTGAATTTAACAGCAGAGTTAGACAGACTACTGAGAGTAAAAATCTTAGACATCAAAGCTAAGTAGTAAATAATGAGCAAAACGAAATCCAGTAACACCCTTGTTTTCTGCTTTATTTCATCATTTCTAAATCCCATCAAACATAGCAGACTCAAAATTATGTTCTTCTGAAAGTAAAATGAGATTCTGAAAGATCACATATTAGTACAAATAGCTCTTTATGTCAGAAATGCATACGATTTCCAGCTTTTTTTCCCCTACAGTCTTTAATCTGTGGGTGTGCCCAAAAAGCAAAATTCTGGGTTCTGGTGATAAATAAAAACATGTGCAGTTCAATAGAATAATGAATTTGAAAGCTATTATAATTCAATATTCTGAATACCTAGACTAAAATTGTCAGTTTACCTCTGCCAAATTCAATGTCTACTGAATTGAATTCTTTACTTTTTATATCCTTGAGTGAGTATGTTAAAACATGTAAGAGAAATGTATATGTCAGATGTTATCTCAAAACTCATAATTTGAAGTACAGGAGTTCTAGAGGATTAAGATTTAAAGATAAATGAGACATACAGAATAATTACACTGAAAAAGAAAGAACAAATGAATAACAAGATAGAAAAAGACAAATGTTAAGAAGAAAAATAATGGCTTACTATGCCAGGGAATGACAAATTGAAGAGGAATTGCATCACATTTATCATCAAAAAGAATATTTCAAGATCAATCTGGAAATGTAACGGTGTCTGTGATAGGATACTATCTATAGGACTACAAGAAAGACTAGTTAATACCACTATTGTTCAAATTTACACACCAACCACTAAATCAAGTGATCATGTCACTGAAGAATTCTATCAATTTATTTAGTCTGAAATTGATCGAAGATGTACTCAAGATATATTGACAATTACTGTGATTAGAAAGTGAAGGTTGAAAACAAAGAGGAAGAAACAGTAGTTGGAAAATATGGCTTTGGTGATAGAAACGATGCTGAATATCCCATGATACAATTTTGCAAGACCAATGACTTGTTGATTGTAAATACCTTTCTAAACAAAAGGCAACTATACACATGGACTTTACCAGGTGGAATACACAGATATCAAATTGACTATATCTATGGGAAGAAATGGTGGAAAAGTTCAGTATCATTAACCAAAACAAGATCAAGGGCAGACTGTGGAACAGACCATCAATGTAAGTTCAGGCTCAAGATGAGGAAAATTTAAACAATTGCACGAGAGACAAAATATGACCATCAACATATCCCACCTGACTTTAGAGACTGCCTCAAGAACAGATTTGATTAGGCACTAATAACCAAAGACCTAAAGAGCTGTGGGATGACATCAAGACCATCATACAGGAAGAAAGCAAAAGGTCATTTAAAAAGGCAAGAAAGAAGGGAAGGGAAAAAATGGATGTTAGAAGCGACTCTGAAACTTGCTTTGCAGTGTAGACACGCTAAAGCGAATGGTAAACCAGATAGGGAAAAGAAACTTACAGAAAATTTCAAAGGACACCTTGATAAGACAAAATCAAATAATCAAATGGAATGTGAAGTTAGAAACCAAAAGAGAATAGCAAACATAACTCAAGCTGAAAAAAACTGAAGACAAATTTAATCCTCAAAATATTGAAGAAGGCAAAATACTGAAAGGTGCATAAAACAATAAAAAAGATGGAAGAAATAAACAAAGTCACTGTACCAAAAAGTAATCAATCATTGTTCAACTATTTCACAGTGTTCAACCATTTCATAAGGTAGCATATGATCAAAAACAAAGGTACTGAAGGAAGAAGTACAAGGTGTGCTGAAGGCATTGTCAAAGAACAATGCTCTGAGAACTGATGGAATACAACTTGAAATCATTCAACAAACTGAAGCCAGTGTTCAACCATTTCACAAGGTAGCATATGATCAAAAACAAAGGTACTGAAGGAAGAAATACAAGGTGTGCTGAAGGCATTGCCAAAGAACAATGCTCTGAGAACTGATGGAATACAACTTGAAATCGTTCAACAAACTGATGCAGCACTTGAGGCACTCACTCATCTGTGTCAAGAAATTTAAATGACATCATCCTGACTAACTGATTGGAAGAGATCCTATTTGTGCTCGTTCTAAAAACAAGGTGAACTAAAGGAATTGGAAATCATCAAACAGTATCATTAATATCACATGCAAGTAAAATTTTGCTGAACGTAATTCAAAACTGGTTACATGAGTACATCTATAGTAAAGAATGATGTTGGAGATGATGGATTAGGGAGAGGTGTAATGCAGACTTCTACCAGTGATAACACAGAATACCTGTTGAAAGCAGGTTCAGAGAATGGTTCTGGAACTCTGAATTACATATAAAGGAATATTTATAAGTATTGAAGACTTACTGTTAGCAGAATAAGTAACAGAAGCAAGAAAAGGCGTATTTTCTGAGTTACCACGGCCATCGAATCCTGGCTAGCCATAGTGAACAAGACCAAGCAGACACAGAGCAAGAGAGAACTGCCATCGCAGACACCTGACTGATTGTCAGAGATAAATGTGTGAACAACTTTTTCCCCCTGTTTATTTCTCTTTCTCTGTCTGTGCACCTCCACTCTAGTGACTAGAGGGGGTACCTGAGCGAGTGGACACCCCTCACACACACTCCTGGAGGGGTCTACTACCCATGCCCACAGATCTTCTAAGCAAAGACCCAGAA